TAGTGTCGTCAGCGAATAATGCCACCTTAGATGTGAGAATATCTGGAAGATCGTTAATGTAAATTAAAAAGAGTATAGGGCCAAGGATTGAACCTTGAGGAACCCCTGAAGTTACAGGATGTGAAGAAGAGTGTTGTCCATCGAGGACAACTTTTATACTACGATTGGAAAGAAAGGACTCAATAATCTTAAAGACGTTACCAGCTACACCATAAGAAGAAAGCTTATGGAGAAGACCAGCATGCCAAACTTTATCAAAAGCTTTAGAAATGTCAAGTGCGATAGCCTTAACCTCTCCACCTCTATCTAATGCACGGTAAAACCTATTGGTTATTACTGTTAGCACATCAGCTGTAGAACGAGAAGACCGAAATCCATATTGATGGTCAGAAAGTAAGTTATTTGATTCAAGATGAGAGATTAAGTGTTTGTTAATTAAAGATTCAAAAACCTTGCTTATGACAGGAAGAAGACTAATGGGACGGTAGTTAGATGAATCAGATCGCTCTCCGGAATTTTTGAAAATAGGGATAACAGATGCTGCTTTCCAGCATGATGGAAAACAAGACTCTGATAAGCACTTGTTAAATAGTTTAGAAAGTATGGATGAAAGCTCCGGAGAACACCTCTGCAAAACTACAACAGGAATGTTGTCAGGACCACAAGCTGTTGAAGAGTCTAAGCAGGAAATTACTTTAGATACAGAAGCTGAAGTGATGCGAATGTCAAGCAAGGAATCAACCTGTTTGACGGCTATGTCAGGTAAAACGCAACTAGTGGAATCAAGAGATGATATTGATGAAAAGTTCTTAGCAAACAATTCAGCTTTGTCTTTAGGTGAGGTGACAAAGTCTGAACCATACAAGAGAGAAGGAATAACAGATTTGCCCTTATTATTGATACTGTTAAAGATTCTCCAGAAGTCTCGAGAGCCTAATTTTTGTGATGAGATACGAGATTTAATGACCTGGGAATAGCGAGTTTTGGCGTCAGACAAAACCTTTTTACAATGGTTTCTGGCGATAGTGAACAGATGTCTATTTTCTGGAGAATTGTTTTGCTGATAGATATGGAAGTAACGGTTTCGATTAGAAATTGCTGCAGCGCAATGTGAGGAAAACCAAGGAGAAGAGTGAGGCTTGACCTGGAATCGTCGAGAGGGAATAAAAGATTCCATGCCAGCCTGAATCCACGAAGTTATGTAAGAAGCACATTTGTCAGCAGGAAGACGAAAGATTTCTACCCAAGGGCCATCACGAAGAAAATCACGGAAAGAGTCCCAGTCAGCTTTAAGGTAGTTGTATGTGGTACGATGATAGGGGGATTCTGATGAAGTAGAAGAATTTGATAATAGTTTTAGAGAGATCAAACCGTGATCAGAAGTACCTAAGGGTGAATGTGGAGAAATTGAGCACTGACTAGGATCCAAAACAAGACATAAGTCGAGTAGAGAAGGTAAATGATTAGGGTTGTCTGGAAAACGAGTTGGAAAGTTGACTATTTGAGTTAGAGATTGAGAAAGGCAAAAGTTGAGGGCCTTAACGCCAGCAGAGTCACTGACACTAGAGCCAAGCCAATCGGTGTGATGGGCATTAAAGTCACCAACAACGACGATATTGGCCGATGGATAAAGAGAGAGGGCTTGGTCAATTTGATCAGAAATAACATCAAGAATAGTGCAATCTTGGGATGAAGGAGAGCGATATAGAACAAAGAGAAAGGCGATAGAGTGAAGTTGTGCTAAACGAAAGCACATAAATGAATAGTCTGTAGATTCAAACCTAGTTTCACGACAAATGGGTGAGTTCTTACGAATGTAGATGCCCAGGCCAAGCATGTGATTATTGGAGTCTTTACGAATTAAAGGAAGATAACCATCAACACTAAGATCACAAGATGGGACAGCCGAACTTAAATTAGTCTCACAGAGAGCAAGTAGGTCTGGTGAACTTTGCAAGAGATAAGACTCAACAGAAGAAAAGTTACTTCGAAGACCACGAATATTAGTAAATGATAGGTTTAGAGAACTTGGTGATGACAATGGTTTTTTGTGTTTTTTAGTTTTAGGTACTTTAGTCATTTTAAATTTATAAAGAACTTGACTCAAGTATAGATAGTACTCAGTACACTATTTAACAACTAAGCAATAGCCTCATTACTCTTAATAAACCCTAAGCCGTAACAAAGGGCTCCAAATGTGGCCTCTGCAATGCACACCAAAAGTACAAACAGGGACACCATCCATGCGCAACATGGCACTGTTAGTACTCTGATATTTTTCGGCTGTTGATGGAATCAGCCTCTCTGAGAGCTACCACAGAGTTCGGGAAACCTGACTACCAGCCGGCCTCAGAACCATAAAACTGAGTTTTAAAGCTGTACCCTCATTAGGAGATAATAGAATGAGTTGCCCAGTCATAAAAATAGAGACACAAGCAATACCCACGCATTGAGTCAAGAAGATCCAGCGTTCAACATCCTAAACTGGAAACAATGTATTAAGAATACATCTGCGCCAGCCTAATAGATGAGGAAGGGGTGCGAGGCTGGTCAACAGGTAGAATCTGTTTACCCCTTAAGTCTTTGCCTAGGAGGCCTTCTACAAGACAGCAGCTGGATGCATGTAACATCTGCCCAAGATGAGTATTTTTATCGAGACACCATCTCTAGCCTTTACTCAACCAAGAGCCCCAAGGCATGGGGTGTTTTAATTCGGAGTTAACTTCTCCTAGCCTTTGCCTAAAAAGCATATCCTACAAGGCAGCAGGACATGGAGCAGGTTGTACTGGGTTACATGTTACCAGTAGCAGGAAAACCTGACCTGACCTTCTTTTTTAAACTAATCTAAAATAAAATATAAGCAAATAATATAGAGCATAATATAATAATCTTTTATATTCTACCATATATAGCAATGTGTTAAGATAACATACTTTTATTAAAAGGTTAAACTAGAGCTATAAATAAATTGATATAATCTTTTAAACTGAGTATTGTTTCATATTTAAGGTAGTTGTTATTAATTATTGACAAAATATTATTAGTATTTAATCAAAAAAACAAAAGTAAAGTAATTTAAAAAATAAATTTTTTACATTTAAGAACTCATAAATAAAGCAAATTAAAAATAATAAGGCCTGTCTGCTCAGCAAGTACTGCTAAACTATAAGGATAAAATGTAATCATTCATCATAAAAACCCTTTTATTACTTTGAAACGCATTTAATGCAAAATTTGCAAAAAATAAGTAAATACAAAACTAATAAAAGAAAACCTCTATAAACAATCATATATTTGCTTCAAGTGAAGAAACTTGGAAATATTGAAACTTGTTTAATTATTTTAATTTTTTTTTAGATATCCAATATTCTTAAGAAAAAAAGTCAATAATATATATTCTATACATATAATATATGTATAGACACTTTAATTGTATATATTTATATATCTTTTAAACAAACTTACTCAAAAAGTAACAGTATAAAAATTATTTAATGAAGTATAAATCTGTTCAATAAAAGTTACTTAAAAAATTCGGCAATCAGAAAGTTTTTAGAGGTATTGATAAAACATACACAATGAATATAAATGGAATGATTTTTGACCTCTCAAATAGTGTATTAGAAAGAGATCTAGGTGTCTTTGTACAACCGGATATGAGGTGGAAGCATCAAACGCAAGTATGTGTTAACAAAGCTTCAAAAATACTGGGGTTATTGAAAAATGCCTTTGAAAGTAGAGATTGTTATATGTGGAAAATTTTGTATATTACTTATGTGCGACCTCATCTTGAATTTGCGGCTCCAGCGTGAAGTCCTCCAAATGTGGCCAAAATTTCAATGCTTGAAAGAGTTCAACGTAGGGCCACAAAAATACCATACTCAAACCAAATGCTAAGTTATGAGAAACGGCTGGTTAAAATGGATTTAATTAATTTAAATCTCAGAAGAAAACGAGGAGACCTTATTCATTTATATAAGATATTAAACAATCTAGAATTTGTCAATCTTAATGTCAAACCAGTCTATAAGTCAAGCATTAAATTAGATGGCCCATGTTCTTTCATTAGAGGTCCAAACATAAAATTAGAATGCAGTGTTTTACTCCTTGTGAAATAAATGACTTTCATGCATCGGTTAGCTCCAGAATCCATTTCTTCACAAACAGAGTTTGCCAAATTTTGAACATACTTCCAGAAAAAGTTGTAGATTCCGAGAATTTGAATAGTTTTAAAGCAAGTTTAGACGAATGGCTTAAAAAAAAATAAGAAAATATCAATTTAAAAGAAAAAGAAAAAAAAAAGCACTGGGCTGCTGAACGTTATAACATCTCAGGTTGTGGATAAGATCCACACAGTTTACCACTAACTAACTAACTATATATATATGTATATATATATATATATATATATATATGTATATATATATATATACATATATATATATATATATATATATATATATATATATATATATATATATATATATATATATATATATACATATATATATATATATATATATATATATATATATATATATATATATATATATATATATATATATATATATATATATATATATATATATATATATATATATATATATATATATATATATATATATATATATATATATATATATATATATATATTCCAAGAGTGTAATGTGCTAGAAATGTCCATTAGTAAATTAGTTTTGTTCAGTTATACGCATGCAAATTATAGTTGTCTAATTAAATAATTATAAAACATTTTTTATACACTTTTTACTTTTTTGTATATTTTTTTTTTCGCCTAATTTTTATTAATACAGAGTATCTAAATTTATTTGTTTATTTTAAAAAAGTTTTTTTTATTTTTACTATTAATCAGAAAGAAAAAAAAAAGAGTTTTAGCAAAAATATCTTCCTTTTATTTGAAGTAAATTCTTTTTTTTCATTTAAAAATCCATTGTATGACCACTAATATAATCACTGTATCTTATTTTATTTAATTTTAGGAGTCAAAAAAGACCAGACAAAATTGATAAAAAGGAATGGAGTTGTTGAAGCATATCAGGCAAATACTTGTTATTTGGTTCATATACTTGGTTGACTAAAAAATTATTTAATTTTTTTTTTTAATTTTAAAGTTTTGATTTTTAAATTATAAAAAATATTTTTTAATTTTTTTTTTGCAGTGGGATGAAATAAACTCACGATGGCAAAAGGTATTTGTTTAAACTCTTAAAAAAAAAAAATTGTTATTATTAATTCAAATGCTTATTATTTAAGTTATAAAATATATAATTTAATTTTTGATTGAACTTTGTTTCTATTTTTTGAAATCAAATAAAATTTTCAAATCAAAAAAAAAAAAAGATTTAAAAATACAAAAAACAAAACAAAAAAAGAAATAAAAATATTGGTAATTATCTGTGTTGAACTAGGTGAGAAGAAGTTAGTTTGCATGTCAGCACTTATATATTGTTTCATACTTTAAAAAATTTTTGATTTTTGAAGAATAGAATTTCATACTTTTAATTTATGAATTAACAGGACTTTGTGATAGTGTTGTAAGCATTGCATTGTTTAATTATTTTTAATTTAACAATGGTGCTTAAGATTCCATTTTTTAATTTTGAAACCTCTTTTGGTAGCTCGGTGTAATTTTGAAACTTAAGAATATTAAATGGTTTTGTATTTTTAATATATATAGTTTTAAATGGTGTTTTGCTTATACCAATAAAGGATTTATTAATGGAATTTTAAGCAGGGTTATTGAAGCTTACATTAACTTGGTATATAGTGTTTTTGATTAGGCATTGGTTTAATAAAGGGCAGGTATCTTTTTAGTTAAATAAAGGGCAGCTAGTTTTAGTTAAAATTGTGTTGTTGTTTATAATATGATAATTGTGTGCATTTAAAATATAATTCATATTGGGAAAATATGGTCATTGAAATTAAATATAACATCACACTCTCACACACACACAAATAGCTACCTTGTAAGTTTAACACTACTGCTTTTATATGCATTCACACTAAAATTCCTTTGTGCGGAAATAACACCTAAAGTGCGGAAATAACACCTAAAGTGCGGAAATAACACCTAAAGTGCGGAAAATACACCTAAAGTGCGGAAATAACACCTAAAGGCATGATCAATCATTAATCAATCCTTGCACAGGATTTTTTACTAGTTATTTTTTCATTTCTTTTATTTTTTAAAAACCCTTTGTAAAAAATAATAGCGATGCCATTGCATTGATAATATTTTTGTAAATTTAAACTCTTTATTGTTTTAGAGCTCCAAAATGTTATATAACTTAATTAAGTTAAGTTTTGGCGTTACTCATTTTTAATTACCTTTTTATTTGTGAGTTAATTATACTAGTGTTGTTAAAAAGTCTTAACTGAGAAAAAGGCAAATATACAAACTTAGTTATATACAGACTTTTAAGTTTTTATCGTAAAAAATTTGGCAAAACATTAATACTTTTAGGAAAATGTTTTTTAATTAGATTTTAGGCATTTCTTAAAAGATTTGTTCTTACATTTATTGCTAACTGAGGGTTAAACCAAATAATGTTCCATATTTTCAGTTTTGGTTTTTGTTGAAACAAGGCATTGTTTAAAAATAATATTTTCACTTTCTTTTTTGTTAAAGTCTAAATGTATAAATTACAATGGCATTTTTTTGTTTCGTTTATATGAGTTTGTAATAACAATTTCAGTTTGATTATGGTTCATTCATTAAAAAATTGAAATTTAAAAAAAAAACGAAGTAAATCACTAAGCACGATGAAATACATTGTATATCACCGAGCATTAAACGAAATGTTAAAAGCTGAATTGTTGTGCAATATAAGTTCAAATTCGGTCACTTAGAACTCAGCGCATACTCAGTACTTTTCAAAAAATTTTGTTCAAAAATGTTAAATATCATCAATAATTCTTTCGGAATTCTAAAGGTCATGAAAATGTCCAAACATCAGTAAAATAATTTATTTTGGCATAATTTATTTTGGCATAATTTTTGATTCATAATAACTCCAGCTTTGAGCTAGTTCTTGTTTTACTAAAAAAAAATTAGTAATAATTTAAAAAAAAATTACTTTAATAAGGTTTCTTAAGTCGCAGTCGTACCCGGACAAAAATACTATTTTTGAGGAGAGAAAAGGTATATCCAGTGACCAATCTTGATATGTTTTATTTACAAATAAATTTTTTTTTAAAACCTGACTAATTGTAAATGGTACTAATATATAATTATAAATATAAGTGGTAATAATAAATTGAAAATAAAAAAGGTGTACATACGTCTATACAGAGTAATAATTAATATATTTAAATAAGAAAATGAAGGTTAAATGCTAAAAGAAAATATTTACATAAACTTACATATATATATATATATATATATGTATGTATATATATATATATATATATATATATATATATATATATATATATATATATATATATATATGTATATATATATATATATATAAATGAAACAAAAAGTTTATGGTTTTAATGGCACTGCTTACAGACATACATATTAATTTGATTTATTTTTAAAATCATATTTTTAAAATCATTTATATTATTTAACTTATTATATTTGGCACAAAACATTAGAATTATACTTGTATTTTTTTTTTTGCAATTCTATTTTTTAAAATTTACTTGTTTTAGTTGTGTAGGATTACAAAAGTTTTTTTTTTTAATTGAGATTGGAGAAGTAACTGGTGCTGCTGGTGAAGATGGATCGAAAAGAACTGAAGGGAAAAAAATGTACAAAGGCAAGGTATTAAAAAATTTTTGAAAAGACTTTTTTACAAGTAAATTAGTTGTTTTGTTTTTTTAACTGTCAAGTTATTTTGAATTGTCAAGTGATGTTGCTAGGAACAACTAGTGACCCGGATGCAAAGATGTAAAGTGAAAATTTAAAAGAGTTTAGATGTTTTAACACTTTCTATAAAATAAATTTTTGCACAATAGTTTTTCATTAAACAATTAATCTTTTGAAAGGTAACTTTTTGTTGGATATATTTTCCCAAGTCTACTGTATTATTTTCAAATATTTTCCTGCTAAATTTGGTGCTGAGATTTTTGTTAGTATTTATACAATAGTAGTTAAAAATAAATTTAAATAATAAAAATAAATTTATAAAAATAAATTAGAAATTAATATAATATTTTTTTTGTTGTTAAAAAAATTTTTTTAAATAAAAAAAAAGTTAAGATGAATAAATTAATATAGTACAAGTTACGTTTAGAATTGATCGTTATCAATATCTAAATTCAGCAATTTTAAAATTTCTGAAAAAAAGTTGTTAAACGTTTTATACAAAGTTTTTAAACTACTGAATTATCAAAAACTGATTTAAATTGATGATATTTTGTTATTTTATTTTTTACAGTATTTCTTTTTTAGGAGTATGACTTTCTTTTTGATGTTGATATTCAAGAAGGAAAACCACCATTAAAACTTCCATTCAATGTAACAGGTAAAAAACGTTGAGTTCACTTTTTTTTTTTTTTAATATATTCTTTATTCAGGGACATTCTTATTTTATATATATATATATATATATATATATGTATATATATATATATATATATATATATATATATATATATATATATATATATATATATATATATACATATATATATATATGTATATATATATATATATATATATATATATATATATATATATATATATATATATATGTATATATATATATATATATATATATATATATATATATATATATATATATATATATATATATATATATATATATATATATATATACATATATATCTTATACTGCTGAGTTAGGTGAGCATGATGATGTCATACTCACCTAATGTCAAATAGCCTGCTGCCGGGGGCTTCAGTACATACATCGACTGACAAATAGCCTGACCCGCCGTGGAGTGCTGCTACATCGACTGAGGGTTTGGTATGGGTCAGCAACATTTTCATTCATTATTCTTTGTTTTCCCTCATCGTTTTCTAAAAATGCTCACTTAATTTAGGCTAGCAAAAAAAGTGAGCAATTGCGCATATAAATATGCTATAGTAGATATATATATATATATATATATATGTATATATATATATGTATATATATATGTATATATATATATATATATATATATATATATATATATATATATATATATATATATATATATATATATATATATATATATATATATATATATATATATATATATATATATATATATATATATATATATATATATATATATATATATATATATATATATATATATATATATATATATATATATATATATATATATATATATATATATATATATATAGAAAACATCAATTTATATAATACCACATTTTTTTATAGAGGATCCTTGGGTAGTTGCTAACAAGTTTTTACAAGATAATGATTTGAGCCCTATGTTTCTTGATGAGGTTGCTGGATTTATTCTTAAAAATACTGCTGGTGTTACCATTGGCATAAGTAGTAATCAGTTTGCAGATCCATTTACTGGTAATTTTTATTTAAAATTTGTTATAAATTTGTTGTTTGATGATTTGTATTTTTTTGTATCAGTACTGCATACTAGTATTAGACATTTGTCAAAAGTATTTTCTGTTACTAAGTTGTTATTAATTTGGAAGTTTATAGAGTTCAAGTTACTGAGTTAAAATATTATATGTTCTAGAGTTTAAATTTACTAATAATAAATTTTTAAACATGTATGGAAAATTTACTTTTAATTTAGAGTTAAAAACTTGAAAAATGTTTAAAAGATGATCAAAGAACGATGCTTAACATGCAGTTGATAGTGTAGTAGTAGTAGTGTGTTACAAAACACAAAGTTTTGAATTCTTCTCACCACATCCCTGGTAATACTGTGCTAAACTTGTTTCTCTGCTTAGCAATAGTATTTTAGAAAAAAAAAGATTACCTCCTTAACTCTAGCAGCTTCTCTTTAAAAAAACTGTTAGTTAATAAAAATACATTTATGTTGATATATTGATACAACTCTCGGAATTAGGGTCGGCATTTGGCAATGCCGACCTAACTGCTGACCTGAAAGTGTTTGAGGTTGGCAAAAAATTGCCGACCTGGTTATTATGTTTTATGCTCAGACCTTTGTATCAAATAATTTTTGCCGACCTGATACTGACCTCAAAAAGATTGAAGTCGGCAAATTATTGCCAACCTCATTTTTCCCAGTTCCGAGGGTTGTTGATATTATTGATACATAATGTTATATGTTCATATATTGATATAGTGAAAACTTTATAACCAAGTGGCTTTAGGTTGTTTTACAATTTAATATTACTTCTTAGAAAGTTTCGATTTCTTGTATTTAGTTCTAGTGTTTTGAAGTGATTTGAACATGGCTATAAAAAACGTAAAATTTGAATTCTCTTCTAATAAAGAACTTTGAATGTTTTTTGTCTTAATCAATATCTTTATGTTACATAAAACATAAATTATGTATTTTAATATAAATTTATTGTTTTTTTGAAGATTTTAAAATTGGTTTCTCAGACAAGGCGTAAGTTTCACTCTTATGTCTTTTCTGTGTTATCTTTAACTTATAAAGTGAAATAGATTAATACATTGTAAGACATTAGCCACTCGGGCTTCCGTTTCTCAATTTTTTTTGTGGTTCCAATTTTTAAAAAATCTGAAGACTATTCTAACCCTTAACCCTTATTCTGAACTTAACCCTTACTCTTGTTTAACCCTTACTCTAAACTCTGGAGAACCCTTCTACTATTAATGATCACTCTTGTTACTATAATTTAGTTTTAGTCAACATTAACTAACACCTTATCTGGAGTCTAACCACTTACTCTCTAAAATTTAGTTTCCATTTTGCTATTGTTGACTTAGCCATAATAATAAAATGGTACTATTTTGCCTATTGTGGATGTTTTAAGGCATGGGCTATAGTACATCTGGAAAAGTTTTAAAAGTTTTAAATTATTGAATCATTTCTTTCTAACAGTTTTCAAGTTAACTGTTTTGGAGTAGCAACTAAAAACTAATTTTTTGTAGGAAATAGAAACTACCTTATAATAAGTTCTTAACAATAAAGTAGTTTCTGTTTGCTACATTAACCCAGAAGAGACATCACATCATTAAAATGTTCTCATTTTTGACATTGCAATATCTCTCCTGTAACAGCTTAAGGTTTGCACACGGCTGTTTCAGAGTGAGCTTTACGGCTTCTTGTTTTTTTTTTGAAAATTTTGACTTAGGGGGTGTTACTAAAACATTTATAACTTTTGAAATTTTAGAGATAATTTTTAAAAGGAATAAAAACAACAATAAAATGTTTTATCAAACGACATTTTGTAAAAAGGAATAAAAACAACAATAAAATGTTTTATCATATGACATTTAATACAATAGTAAAAAAACTTCTTTTAGTTTATAAAAAGCGCAACAAATGATGAACTTGGTTAAATTTTAGTAATTTGTTGTTACTTTTTATCAAAAAAAAATCAGAAAAATATATTTCTGATAGTTATTATTAAATACACTTATTGTTTAACTATTAATAAAATAAAAAAATCTTATGTAATTGTTAGAGGAAAACTAAAACAGTCATTATTAAAGTTTGCAAGCAAACCGCGTTTCTTGCAAAATTATGAAAAATGTTGTTAAAGGGGGGATTAGCTGTTAAATGAGCACGTTTTTAAGTCTAGAAGTTCTTGTTTTAGAAAATGATTCACTAAGTTTATAAATTCAATGCATTATAAAATAAAACCAGATTTCAACTTTGAAATATTTATTCTTAACATTTTAAGCTAAAGCCTTTAAAAAACTTGAGAAATTATTTTTTATGCATACAGTTATAATAATATGGTGTTAGGTTATTAATAAATAAAGACTCTAATAAAATAATTCATGACCAAAACTGAGTTAAAGTTTTTGAATTAACCTTGCTTTTGGTATTAGAATTATTTTATGGCACTTGAATCAATCTTTTTACACAAAAAATAAACGTTTCTTTAAATATACAAATAGCTAATTTAAATTGTTTGATAATGTGTTTTTATTGTCATAAAAACTTTGCTTGATCCATTAATAAGTTGATCCATTAATAAGTTCTTTAAGTAGAAAACGATCTTTGAACACCCAGTTGATAATAGATTTATGCACCATTCTAAAGAAAAAACCGCCTAATTTTGTTTATTTTATACTTCAAAATTTGTCTCGCTAAGAAAGTTGTTTTCATAAAATTTATTAGATATTTGCTTGGGACGTACAGAATTAAAGGTCACGTGATTGTTTTGAAATGTAAACAATGTTTTGTGCATTAAACTAGAAAAATTTGTTTCTAAACTTGCTAAGTTTGAAAACATATTTTAGAACATAGCTAGAGGTACAGCAAACAATTTTTTGATTTTTATATGCAGAAAGGGTTGAAATTTCAATAATTTGGTGCAGATTACAAAAATTACAAAAATTAAAAATATAAATGCATTTAAAAATAGTTAAAAAATAAAAAATAAGCAATCCGCACCAAAAATTAGATAGAATAGACATTTTTTATAAATGTTCCAAATTTCAACCATTAGGCATGTAGCTATGTTATGAAATCTTAGTTGACCCAAGAAAGGTTTTCTGTAAAAGCCACAAAAAACAGAAAAGTGATCCCAAATCGTTAGCAATATTTAAACATTATTTTTATTCCATTTTGATGTAAATATTTATTTAAAAAAAAAAGATAGGTCTTTTATATTTTTTTTATTTGAAGGTGAAAGCGCTTATAGGAAAAAAACACTATTATTTTAAAGTTAGTGCATTTTTAAACTTTTTTTGCGGAAATACTTTTTTTTTTGATAAACACAAAAATAATTGTGACGTCAAGCTTGCTTTTATATCAAGTGAAACAGCCGTGTGCAGTGACTGGTGAGTTTTAACCTAAACAAAACTCAGTTGTTGCTCTACTTTAATTCTTCTTATATTATCTTTCACTTTTAATCATTCAACCAATATCACCTGTTTCTATTCTACTGCTCTTTCATTTAAAAAAAAAATTAAGATCTATTTTTTTTTAAAAACATCAATGCTCTTAAATTCTTTTTTTTTTAATGTTTTTCTGTCTTATATACTTTTATTTATTTTAGTTAAATAGTTTTTTAAGTTTTTGATTGTTTTTTATTCTTCAAGTTTATTTTTTTTTGTTAACTCTTAACTTTAACAGTGCCTGCAGCCTTGCTGTATATATATTTCTTAAAAAAAAAAATTTCAAATAAGTAATCCCTTTACATTGAGTTGAATGTAAATAAAATAATATTGATTATTAAAGTCGTATTATTCAGGAAAATCATTTAAAAAAAACGGTAAAATCAATTTGAAATAACAATTTATTTAAATATTATTAGTTTAAACAATGACAGGTTTAAAATGCAGCAACAAATAAGGATAAAGATAAGGTCTACATACACAAATTAAGTAATTTATATCTTTTATTTAGGAGGAAGTCGATATATACCTGGAACAAACTCTTCTACTAATATAAGCAATGGGGTTGATCCATTTACAGGTTGCATAAGTATACTTGATAACAAGTTGCAAAATTTGATCTATACTTTGTAGTAAATAATTTATAAAATAAAATAAAAAAACTGTTTATTATAAAAGCTATTTATTATAAAAGCTGTTTATTTTAAAAGTTGCATATTATGAAAGCTGTATAATATGAAAGCTGTTTATTTAGAAAGCTGTTTGTTATGAAAGCTGTTTGTTATGAAAGCTGTTTATTATGAAAGCTGTTATATTTTTTATGTATTTAGGAGGTGCTCGTTATGTTCCTGAAACCTTTAAAACAAATTCTGACTTCACTGGTATGTAATTAGTTTTGTTTTTATTATTGTTTTTAGGTTCTTTCTATTTTTAGTCTTTTAATTTTTTATTGTTATGAAATGTAATTTTTTTTTGTTTAGCTAATCAACTAGGTTCTAATAAGGTATGATTTATATTTTTAAATCACTAGCAACATTTATTTTTCTTTATTTAGTATTCCTTCGTATTATTAGTAGAGCTTCAGTATCATTTCATTTTAAAAGTAGATAATCAAGTATTATAAAAATCTTATTATGTGTTTAAACTTCTCACTAATGAAAAATATTCCTTATTTACCTTATTTTCAATAAGCTCAAAATCAAACTATTATTATTATTTTTTTAGTTCTAATTGTATTTAGTATTGTATTATATATATATATATATATATATATATATATATATATATATATATATATATATATATATATATATATATATATATATATATATATATATATATATATATATATTTATATTGTAATTCACCTCCCCAAGGCTGAGAAGGCCACTACAGATGAGGAGGCTACTTGTGGTTATAACCCTCTCTCAACTCTATAACTCCAAAACACGAATCTTGATTAACAAGGCCACTGCGTGGAGAAACAAGTTAAGCGCGATACTACCAGGAACGTGGTGAAAATTGAACTTGGAACCTCTTGCTTATGAAGTGAGAGCTCTGCCACTACACCACTACCGCATTATATACACCACTATGTTAAGCTATATAATCGCATGCATATATTGAGCTATATAATGAGCATCAAGTTCATTCATGTGTGTTTGCACAGAACACATGGCAGCCATTAAACTTGGGTTAATGGCGATAAATAGTCTCAGCACTTTTTTTTTAAAGAAGTTTTTTAAGTTTTATATGAATAATAAAATGTAAATTAAACTCAGATTCAATCTTTAACACCTCAAGACACAAATGTAAAGCAATTTTTTCAGTTCAATTTTAATTCAATTTTAAACAAATTAAGCAATTTGATTCAATTTTAAACAAATTAAGCAAAGGTAAAAAAAAAGTAAATGTCAAAATTACTTAGTTCTGACCTAACACATACCTGAACCGGACAAAATATGTAAATAAACAATTTTATAGAAATTATATTATATTAGAATGGTTTTTTACTTTCCTTTCAAATACCAAAAACCCTTTTCTTTGTATTTGGTATCACCTGTTCAAAATAAAATTTTGTTTAAAATTAAATAAATTCTTTAAAATTAAAATTTGACAAATTGTTTTTATTTACATCAGTTACACAACTGCAGTATTTGATCCCTACGAGTCCCTGATTGAATTTCAACTTAAGTGTCATCTCTAGCTTGTAAGGGCAAGGCTGTGGCAGGTAAAACTGGAAGATTGTCTCCCTTATAACCAACATTAAAGTACATGTTGTGAATTATGCAAGCACACACTACAAGTTTTGCAGTATTTTCTGCTTTAGAAAATTGAATTGGTACTCAGAAATTAAAACCTGTTTTTCAAAACCCTAAAACATTGCTTAATGTTTTGGGGTTGATTGCTGGTTTTGCGGTGCACATTATTAAACTGACGCTTAGCTTAGAACCCACGCTTAGAATTTGTTTGGTTGTCACTGTGAGGTGTCATAAGCCAGTTATTGCAGGGGTAGCCTTGGTCCCCTAAGACAACTGCTCTAGGAAAGATTTGTTCACCAGGGACTTTAAAAGCATCTCAAAGTGTTGATTGATGTAACACCTAAAATGTTTGAATAAGAAATCTAAATTTTTCAGACTGGTTATTAATATACTAAATACTCTAAATATGAAAAGTGTAGAAAGTATAATATTTTGTAGAGTATAAATTTTAGCATGTTTCAAAACAAAGTATCAAAATTGTTTATGTATAAACAATATTTATTTTAGATAAGAAACAAAGTCTGAGAAAATAAAAAATTTACAGAACTGCTTATATGGATGTTATACTAATTGTATACTTATCTGTTTACTTTTTAAAATAATGTTATTAAAATATTTGATATTCTGATATTTTATTTAAATAATAGTATTAAGCTAAAATTCATTTTATACAAGTTCACTAAAACAAAAATTTACCCTAGAACCATGTCATCACCTAGAATCATGTCATTGCCTAGATTCATGTCATCGCCTTGAATCATGTCATCGCCTAGAATCATGCCATCAGGGTAAACATAATAAATAAACAAATCTGGTCCACAAAACCAAAGGATCTTCATCATTTGATGGAGGAATTATTGGTATGTGACTTCCATCAATGCAACTACACACACTTAGAATCTGTGCCATAGTGTAAAACTTACTGAGTAGAGTGTCAATAGGATCAAGTCAATCAACTGACAAATAGCCTGACTTGCAGTGGAGTGCTGCTACATCGACTGAGGGTTTGGGATGGGGAAGCAATAATTTCATTCATTATTCTTCGTTTTTTCTTCTTAATTTTCGAAAAAAACGTTATAGCTAAAGGTAAGCAGAAAAAGTGAGCAAATGCTTATCAAAACACGCTTTAGTAAGTGTATATATATATATATATATATATATATATATATATATATATATATATATATATATATATAAATATATATATATATATATATATATATATATATATATATATATATATATATATATATATATATATATATATATATATATATATATATATATATATATATTTCAGGAATGCAAATTTATGAATTAAGAAAAATATGCTACTGATGCTCTCAGAAATATATGTTAAATATATCTCAGAAGTATATGTTATTACAATTTTATGATTGTTTTGTGTTAACAGTTTAAATTTTTATATTGATTATGTAAATTTCAAGATGTTTATATAAATTCAATTTAATATATCTGCAAAAGCTGCTAATATTCTTTAAATTCCAGTTTTTATTTTTTGTTTCTGTATAACTGGTTTTTTATGTTGTATTCTTGGTTTTTGTGTGGATGGATTTATGTTTGCCTCATTTTGAATTTACATAATTCAAGTATACTCTATTCTGAATAGTATTTAAAATAGTTGAAAACTTTTTTAAATTTTGGGAACTGCTTCATTTTATCATGTTGAGCAAGGTTGTCATGGTGTTGGAAAAGATACCAGCAATCGAGCAGTTCATGCAGTTCTGGATAGTTTGTTTTGTTGACAAGAGAAAGTTTTTGAAGCCTTCAGCAGCAGGATATTTCAGTATGACGTCAGATTGCTTACCTTAGTACGCAATACTATTTGTATATATTATATATATATATATATATATATATATATATATATATATATATATATATATATTTATAAATACTTTTGAGAGATATAAATATATATATATATATATATATATATATATATATATATATATATATATTTATAAATACTTTTGAGAGGCATATCACTTAAATATTTACAAGTAGTATTAAATAGTAAAGTATTTAATAACTAACACAAAAGGAACAAAAGACTTGAAACTCTACATACATCTCTTAAAAGAGTTTTATTTTAAATTTGAAAAAATTTGGTTGTAATATGCATATAAAATTTTTTTTTTTAAGTTTTATTTTAAATTTGAAAAAATGTGTATATGTACTTATTTCGATCAGCAAAATGTTTACTATATTAGTTTGCAGTTCAAAGCCATTTTGCTTTTAAAATGGCTTGATGTTAAACTTTTACATAGTTTGAATCTTTAAAATAAGTAAACCAAATAAAAAATATTTTTTTTTTCAGTTATTTACTTATTTTCAATATCTTTGACATATTTATTCATTTCTAACTGGATAAAATTCAATATAAATTACAATTTTACATACCTTTCGGGCAATGTAAAATTGTAGTTTACATAATTGTAAAACTTTACACAAAAAATCGCCGTAAATTTTTTATAGGACCGTGTAACTTTACATTGTAGAAATTTACATTGTAAATTCGTTTTATAGAATAGGCTTAATATGTCATTTATATTTAATGTAAAAATTCTATATGTATAGCGTTACAAACGAATGTCTGTAAATGTAAAAATGCAGGTTGTATATGGAACAATTGTATATAATATATGTATAATATAGTATAACTTTTTTATAAAAAAAGGTTCAAGCAATTAAGTCTTTTTGCTGAACTGCTTTGTTCTGTATTTAAAAAAGGAGCAAGAAGCATAAAAAATTAAAAAATGCTTTTTTGTATAGCAGTAGAATTTAACACGTTTAAATTCTACTGCTACAATTTAACACGTTTAAATTCTACGGTTAAAACGTAATTTAAAGCGTTAAAATGATGGTACTAAGAGCAGAGTTTTAAACCGCTATTAAAGATGTGTCAAGTTTAAAAACAAATCTATTTAAAATCTTTTTATACTGATGTCATATTCAACACTTTTTAAGTGGTTTCTCTAACTAATTGCATAGAATTTTTAAAAAAGAAATATTCAAAATCCATTATATTTTCTAAACAAACAACAACAAAAAAAAGGATTAAAATTACATTTAAATAAATTACAATTAAATAGAATTTTATTACAAGTGGAGTTGTAATATGCACATAAAAAAAAAAAAAAAAAATTTTATATGCATATTACAACCAAATTTGCCAACCTCAATTCTTTTGAAGTCAGCATCAGGTCAGCAAAAATGATTTGATACAAAGGTCTCACCATAAAACATAGAAATGAGGTGGGCAAATTTTTGCAGACCTCAAACACCTTTAGGTCGGCAGTTAGGTCGGTGTTGCTGAATGCCGACCTTAATTCCAAGGGTTGAACATTCAAATATCAAAAAAATCCACTTATGCTATGTACAAACACCTGTAAGTGTTTTGTTTTGAAATTTTGTATTTATGTTATTTTGTTGTATTTAATGTTAAATTAGCAAAGTTAAAAAACGCAAAAGAGTTCTGCTTCTCATTAATAGTTCTGCTTTCTAAAATTTACATCAGTTTATTCTGCTGAAACCGATATTAAAAACAGTTTAACAAAAAGATTTTTTTGAGAGTTAATTGCTGAAAAATTGCTACAAAAAAAGTCAAGCAGATAGAGTTGTCTTATTTTTCATAACTTGCTCCCATAAATCTGTTTTCTGAATTCTCCATTTTAATTTTGAAATTGTTTAATTTTTTTTTTGAAAATAAGTCTATTTCACATTGAAATGGTCAGAGTGAAATAGAATTATCAAGATATGTATTTTATGAGTCTGGACAGCTAGTAGTTTTGTTAATGTTAACTCTTTCAGGCTAAGATGGTTTGCTAATGACCCTGTAGTTTTAAGTTAATAAACAATGGATTTAAAAGGTAAAGCCATTATTTATAACTACTTGCATTTATGTTTTAAAAGATAGCTTTACATTTTGGCAAATATGGACATACTATTTATAAAAAGGGTTTCTCAAAAGAAAATTAGCAACAGAGTGAAATAGTTGATAATTTCTGAAGTCTTGAGGATTTTTAGGTGTTTTAGCACTATTTGTATCTATTTTCAATGCCAGATACACTTGTAATATGTTTTGATTAACATTTTTGTAGAATTTTGGTATTTAAATCAAAAATTGATCTATAAATACATAATATATAAATTTTAGGATTTTGCAAAGTTTTAAAGTTGAATTTTTTAATTTTTTTTTTTTTTATTAAAAATCTCCTTCAAAATTCAGGTGATATTTGTGCTCAAAATTATTGATATAGATATATTTTTTTGAAAGTTATATAATGTATATTTATTTGTCTTTAAGAAATTGTATGCTTTATGTAGTAAAAAGTGCCGTGGTTTGAATCCAGCCGTGGTAGGATTCAAACCACGGCACTTTGCTTCAGAAATTCTGATTTTTCATTTGCAAACATTGTGACATGAAAATAGTATATATATGATGTAAGCCTCGTGCAATGTTAGTTTGACATTTTTTATACTCTAAAATCCAAATTCAATAATTAATTCTAAAAGTTTAATGTTTCTTTAACTCTTTTGCACCTAATTTTAATATTTGTAAACAGTAAAAATCAACACAAAATCAACAGTAAAAATCAACACTTTTAAAATGATAAAATAGTGCAATAAAGCATCAATTAAACATATATTAAAAATTAAAAAAAAAGAACCATATTTTAAATTAAAAGAAAAAGAAATATTAAAACTTAAAAAAAAAAGGTTAAGTGGTATACCACTAGAACCTTTTTTTTTTTTTTTTGTTTAATTTCCTTAAAATACAAAATACACCTTTGATGTTTTATAGATATCATATACATAACATAAAGGGAGAGAATTTTTAAAAAAACTTTATATTTTTAAAAACATCAAAACATCTGTAAAAATTTGTTGCGCATATGTCAAAATAGTTATGTTAATAATGTGCTCATGTAATTAGTCCTAATAAGCTGCAGATGGTCTGAAAAAAAATTATGGTCTGAAACTTAATAAAAAAAAAATTAACAAGCTCATCCTGCTACTTCTGTAGGTGCTGTGGAAGAAAAAAAAAAAAAAATTGTCCATAGCTAGCAAAAACTTTAGAACCTTATTTTAACAATTAAAAGTCTTTTTTGTTATATTTATTTTTTTGCTATAATTATATATGCCCAGATTTAAAAAAATTGAAAATGTTTTGTATTAAAGGGTGAATTTCACATACTTAACTCTCTGTAGCCTGTTTTCCTAGTCCTCTTTTGCTTTGTAAATTTGATATAGTATTTATAAATGGTTAAAATTATTTTGAATTTTGAAAAAACGCTACCAGAATTCGAATAAAGTATGGATATTTTTATTTTTTTTGCTTTAAGAGCGTAAATTAATTTTTTTTCTACCATTTATTCAAAAAACATTAAAATAAAGAAATAGAAGATGAAAAGCTGAAAAAGTATAGAAATAGTGATCGGTGTGAAATAAACTCCCCTCGACCCATATTTTACTGGTCATGACAGCTAGTTTTTAATAATAGTTTTAATGCACCTATTTTTATTTTTACTTATTTTTATAGATATTGCAAGGTGTATCATATATACCTGAGGTATTTTTTTGTTTAATTAATGCTAAATTCTATTAATTGATACTGATATTATAAAACAAATGTTTGGATTATTTAAAGAGGTGTTACCTGAAGTTTACAGTTGGAAAAAGTGAAACTATTATTGCAAAGATTATTGAGTTCAATCAGCAGTTACAACAGGTTAAATTAAATCATGAGGTTATTTGTGTAACTTTGCAATGTCTTTTAACGTAGTAATTATTATGTGCATTAACAAGTTATTTTATTAAGTAATTTTTCAATTTGTTTAATATATGGAATTTAGGAAATGAGAGTAAATGAAAATGAAGTTCAAACACTTAAAGGTAAAGGTTTTCTTTTTACCATCAATATTAATTAGTGCTGTAGTGGTGCAGTGATAGAGTGCTCATTTGTAAGTGTAAAGTTCTTATTTTGATCCCCACTAGTTTCTTTATACTACTGTGCTCTATACCTCACAGTGGCTTTGTTTATCAAGGCTCATGTCTCAGAATTAAAGAAATTAGAGAGGGTTGTAAAATAATAATAACAAAAAAATAAATAGCCTTCTCAATTGTAGTAGCCTCTTCAGTCTTAGGGAGGTGAAAAAATATTTTAAAAATTATTCTTACTAGAAAATTACATTAGTAGCAGTATGAGGGAAATTTTCTTTATAAGCTCATTGTAAGTAGATTTTAAAACTTATAGCTACATCTCATAACTGTCTTGTAGAAAACCTTAAAGGTTTTCTTCAAGACAGTTTATAAACCTTTATAAACTTTACAAACTTTATAAACCTTTATAAACTTTACTAAGTTTATAAACCTTTTCAACTGTTACATTATTTTCTAAGATTATAAATGATTAGTTTTTTGCTTGTGTCTTTTGCAGTAGCTATGCAACTTTTACTGTTCAACTCTTTTACCTAAAAAAGGGTATATTGTGTGTAGATGGTGTTTCTGTTGGTGTTTTTGGTGAACATTGTTGAGGTTACACAAAGAGCCCTTTGTTGCTGCAAAAGTTAGCAGGAATGAGACAAATTCATAGTTTGCTTAAGGTGCCGAATAATATCGTTAAATCTCTCTTAAGTTAATGTTCTCTCTAATAATTATAATCAGCACTATAGTGTGAGTACTTCTATTTCAACTTTAAATTTTAGTGTTGATGGTTGTTATTATTTCATTCTTAAAGACTCCAATAGTCAAATGTTTGGAGACTCCAATAGTCAAATGCTTGAGAACATATACTTAGGTATTAGTTCACCTATCTGTCATGAAATCAGGTTAGTTTGGGTTCTAAGGCTGTACGCTGCACAGTACGCTGTTGGCACTAAAGCTTTAAACCTTTATTTTTGGCTACTTTATGCTGTTCCTTTATGTTGCCACTTACTGTTCCTTTATGTTTTATTTTTGGCTACTTTATACTGTTTCTTTATGTTGCCACTTACTGTTCCTTTATGTTTTAATTGCTATTTCATGTACAAATATCATCCAGTTTTTTCTCTCAAACTTCAATGCATTCTATTATTTTTATTAAATTTTCTGTGGCTTTATTTAAGTCTTCTGTCAAAATTTCTTTTAAACTGACAAAAAACTGACAAAAGCTAATTTATTTCTAGTTCCAACAGCAATTGGTTGTAACAAAAAAAAAACAATGTTTGTATGTATAAATAGATACATACATACATACATACATACATACATACATACATACATACATACATACATACATACATACATACATACATACATACATACATACATACATACATACATACATACATACCTACATACATACATACATACATACATACATACATACATACATACATACATACATACATACATACATACATACATACATACATACATACATACATACATACATACATACATATTTATGTATGTATATAAATACATATGAAGCATTTATCTAATAGCTTTTAAATCACCATAATAAATTCTTTCACTCTACAAAAAAAATGTTGATGTAAATATACCTTTTAAAGAACTTTTATAAAACAAATCATTATGTAGAAACAATGAAAAAAATCAAAAAACAGCTTTTTCTTTACATTCAAATTTCCAAACTTGCTGTAAATTTTTTGTAATACAAGGTTTATTAAAATGTTTTAATTCTAAATGTTTTCTAAAGAAAGAGAAATTTTGTTGCTTAATTTTTTTTTTTTTTTTGAAATCACAAATTTTAATGCTGTTCTACAAGCTGCAAAGTGCATTGTTGTTCTTTATTGATATTTTTAATATTCCAGGCATGACAGGTTTTCAAAGTTGGCATGTTGAAGTTTTGTTCAAAATATTTTGAGCTATTATAGATTTTGTTTTTAATGGTTCATGAGAAGAGTGCCAGTGGTGTTCATGAGAAGAATGCCAGTGGTAATATTTCTCCAGTAAGGTATTAGATATGTCTTCCAAGGGAGACATATCTAATACCTTACTGGAGATCTCTTTACTTTTCAAAAAAAAAATCATACTTCTTTGATCATGATTTCACAGAAATGTCTGGAAGCAAGGTAGAATATTTTTTAATTAAATTTTTAAAAATAAAAATTTTTCTATGGCAACTTTAATCCCTCGAATACATCTAGTGTTGGTTGTTATTATATCCCAGCAAGTATCAACAATTGTTTTTTCAACATTTCAAAAGTCCCTTTAAGATAAATTCATTCAATTTTTTGTGGGTCAGCTGCTTTTATTCAAATTTTGTATTCCAAAAATCTTTTCTTCTAGCCAGTTTAGGGTGTTTCCTGAAAAAATTACCAGCAAGTCTGATAGTTTTCTTTTAGTATTAGATTTTAATTTTAGTTATAATAATAATTTTTTCTCAATTTGCTGCTGCAGCAGTTATAGGGTCATTTTATATACTCTTGTTTTGGATATTGGAAGTTGGAAGAAAGTCTTGTGAATCATTTTCTGTTTCAGAATTTTCTTCTTCATTTTATTGAGTTTCTTAATGAAGCAACTGATTGGCTCTGTTTCTTTTTTGCTTTTAGTCTTTCTGAGTTTGAAGTTGTTCTTTTCTGATTATACTCTTTGAAATTCTCTTGTCATTTCTAGTAAAAAGTTGTTGCAGGTGTCTTCACTAAGTTTACAAATTAGCATTGTACTATTTTTAAATGTAAATACTATTGATACCAATTCAATATTGGCAATTGAATATGATGATATGAATGTAAATACATATCATCATATTCAAAAAAACACGCGGTGGTGTTATTTGACTTATTAAACTTCAATTTTAACAATTAAAATCTCTGCATTAATTTGTATGCTTTTTAGAATTTTTTTTAGATACCTTCTGATTAACTTGGAAGGATCTAAAAATGGGCTAAATTCATTTAGTGACCCATCGAAAAATTATTAAATAATTTTTTAATTTTTCGATGCAGTTTGTCAGTTTTCCGCCAATTAAAGGAAATTTGTTAATCAGCATTGATCTCAAACCTCTTAGTCATGATCAAAGATATATTTTTTTATAAATAATCAAACTTATGCTAAATATGAAAAGTAATAACCAGTGGCCAGTAAGGTTTTGAATTGTGTAATCTGAACCCAGTAACCATTTATTGTTTTATGAAGGTTCATAACTGCTGATTGTATGCTCTGGTTATACCTATCAACAGAAAAACTTGATCATATATAACAACAGAAATTCTAAACAAAAACTTGTAACTTACATTCAGAAGGTATAGGCACTTATTTGGTTTAAAGTGGAATTAAAACATTCAAGTATGAATGGGAATCTTGGTTCATTTTGGTGCATTATACTAGATATGCCTAACAAACTTAAGAAAATTGTTGATCCATTAATCTAAAGAATTGCAAACTTTTTTCTTTCGATGATTTCTTTCTACTTTTCTTTCGATATCCTGAAAACCTATTGATATCAATGGCAACTGATGAAATGTCCCACATTCATAAATTAGTTCCAAGACATGTATTGGGTGCAAAGCTTATTATTCAACAAGTCCATTGTTAAAACTACAATCAGATTGTTCATGATATCGCCACTAAATTTAAAACAGATTATACAGGCATAATCGACATCAAATAAAAATGGTGAACCTCCAATATTTAGATCAATTGAACTTACTCATTTAAGCAAAAAAAAAAAAACTAAAAAATGCTGAAATTTAAAACCTGATCTTAGAAATTCTGCAATGCAAAAATTATCTATGTCACACATTGGCTTTAGAATGTGGCATGAAGTTTTTCACTGCAGCCTGTATAACAGTCTATGAACTTCAGCATGACAGTTTTATTTGTGTAGGAACAAGATATGATTATAGCCTTTTAAAATGTAGTTTTTAAAAATAAAATTGAATATCTTTTGTGTTTTTTTTTTTTAATTGTTATTCTCTACAAATTTTATTGTAATACTTTTTTAATTATTTAATCATGGGTTAAACAATTTTTGGGGAATTTTTGTGATTTTTGAAGTTCTTGGAGCACTTTAAGGTAATTTCATAGAACATTTCACTTTATACAGATTTCTTCTAATATCCTCAATATGTTATGTAATCATATAAAATTGCTTTAGATTCTATAACCAATTTATTAAATGGAAAGATCACTCTGGAAAAGGACACCTTGAACATCATTACTTCAAGTATTACAAAAATGTTATTGTGGCCACATGATAAACTTCTCCCTGGTAAAAAAATATACATTTTTAAATTTCCTTTTATTGTTGGGTTTAAATTATATGACATTTTTTTAACCTTTCTTGTTTGATTTTTTAGTTCTAGATGTATTTAGAATACTAGTATTAAATGAAAATTTGGCTGTCTTGCTACTCAATGAAGTTTGTTTAGAACAACTGCTAAGTATCAGCAGGTATCTTGTCATTTTTAATTTCTTTGCTAATAAAATTATATTTTATAATTCTATTTAATATATAACTATTGCTAATATAATAGAAATTGCTAGTATAATTGAGTTAGTCTTACATAGAATTTTAAAACTCTATATAAGACTAGCAATAACAATGTTTTATGTCAAGTTATTGAAATATTTTTTGACGCCTTTTTTTCAATTATACTTAATTTTAAATGGCCATTTACCTTTATTCTATTAAAACCTTAGTCACAAATGTATGTTAGCACAAATGTTTGAAAGAAAAATACAGTCTTCAAGATGTAAAAAGTAAAATATGAAATTGTTTGACTTTAGTTTTTAGTAATTTAAATTTTATTGATAAATCTCAATAAATTCAAAATAAACAATTAAATTGGTAAAAATGTTGTTCAAATGTTTTGTTATATATATATATATATATATATATATATATATATATATATATATATATATATATATATATATATATATATATATATATATATATATATATATATATATATTTCTTCATATGCAAGTACATAATTCAAAAATGCTTTTATGTGTAGAAAATACATTAGTTTTAATAAAAAGTTCTGCGTCAAAAAAATTTCAGTAGACAAAAATGTAACAAGAAGAAAATAACTTATCTAAAGATAAATTAATGCGAGAAATCAACTTGAATAATTTGATAACTTAAGTTTTTTTTCATTTTATTTGCTTGCAAAAAAGTTTAAAAGAAAACGGCCTTATCAAATTGTGGAGAGAAAAATATATTTTAAAAATCATTGAGTGAAAAATATCAAAAGTAGAAATTCCCCAGAAGGTTTTAGCAAATCAGCAAAGACAAAATATATGGTAAAAAAAGTGTTATGAGAAAAACTTCAAGAAAATCAAAATATATTATAATGGATGATAACCTAATACAAACCTGATTGTTTTCAGGCAAGCAACTTTATAAATTCCAAAAAGGAATGAAGGCAGAGTTTTGCTAAAAACAATTAAAACCAAAAAGTTTGCTGAGAAAGTTTGATTTAGCAAAGCTCATGGTTTCAAAACTCAGGCATTTTTCATGAACAGAAACATGAACTCCAATGTTTGCATGAAAACATGTTTAAAAAATTGGCTTTTGTTTTTGATCTGAAAGCATGGCAATCCACCCGTCTTTTGGCATGATCTTTCATCTTGCCTTTACTCGAAAAGTATAATTGAACAGCATCAACAAAATGGTGTTGATTTTGTCCCTAAAAACATAAATCCAACAAATGTGCCACAACTTTGTCCAATTTAAAAATTTTGTAAAGCTTATGAAAAATGTTGTTCAAGAGCTTATGCAAGATGTCTGCACTAAATTGAAAAAGTATTGTAATCAGTTTGAATTTTTCTAAAATTTTACCATATCTAAAGAAAAATTTACTTAAAAACCAGTTTAAAAAATACCAAAATTTATTTAAAATTAAGTGTTTTCTAAAATATTTAAAAAAACACATGGTCACTATCATTCTGAACAATCTTTAAGTACAAGAATGATCTAAATACCGTTCTGGTGTTAGGGATCCTTCAAAAACCAATCAAAAGACTTAAAAAAAGTTGAATTATATAAGCAGAAGCAAAAAAAAAATATTTTTTTTTTAAATTTATCTCTTTTGTCTTATCAAAAAAAAAATTCTTGCAACTGAAACATTTTGAAAAATAAACAGTAAATATTAGTAATTAACAAACTAAATAAAGTTTTTACCAAAGAAATTATTATAGAGTAAGATGACAATGAAGTAATACTTTATCAATTATGCAAAACACATAATTTTCTTTTATTTCTTATATTTCAATATAATTCATACAGTAACTCTTATATTGTAAAAGATGTTAACTCTAACAGCAACAATTTCAAAATCTTTAAGATATCCAACAGTTTTGAGAAACAAAATTTAAACTACCAGGATTGTAGGTTCAAATAAGAATGATGATTGTATATACATTTTCATATTTCCAACAATCATTTTATCATATACATATGAAATGTTTTGATGTTGAGGATGATTTTTAATGTTGACGATGATTATTTTCAAATCATTATCATTATGATTTTTGATGTTGAAATGTCAAAAACACCTGAATAGCATGTGAAAACCTGTATAGCATGCAACAACCTGTATAGCATGCAACAACCTGTATAGCATGCAACAACCTCTATAGCATGCAATAACCTCTATAACATGCAACAACCTCTATAGCATGCAACAACTTCTATAACATGCAACAACCTCTATAGCATGTAATCTTTTAATCCATTTAGGTTTTTTATTCACTTTTAAGTTTAATTTTTTTATACTCTGTTTTAGGTCATCTCTATTCAACAATATAATGTTGGTCTTCAGAATTTTAACAAATGCTTTTATTCATCCAGACACTGCTTGTATGACTTTCGATAGAAAAAATAAAGTGAATTTTATTACTTAATATTGTTAAAAAACTATTATAACATTTTTTAAATAAATATAGATTTCAAATATTAACTTTCTTTAGCCAATAATATATATATATATATATATATATATATATTATATATATATATATATATATATATATATATATATATATATATATATATTATATATATATTATATATATTATTATATATATTATATATATATATTATATATATATATATATATATATATATATATATATATATATATATATATATAATATATATATATATATAATATATATATATATAATATATATAAATATATATATATATAATATATATATAATATATATGTATATTATATATATATATATATTATATATATATATATATATATATATATATATATATATATAATACAAGTTGTTATATACTTTTTTGGTTTTAAATTTGGATTTATTTTAAATGTCTCTAGATTTTAGAATCTTGGGAAATTTTATATCGCCAAATGAACAAAAATGTCAGCATATCTATTTCTAGCTATGTCATGAAGTAAGTTCTACATTTTATAGAAAGGACAAATTTTCCCATAATATTATTGCATGTGTGCGTGCAATTTTTTAGTTTTTTTTTCTAACAATTCTTTTTGATGATCAGATATAATACGTTTTTTTAAAGGTGTTTTAACTACTTTTTATTTTTTTTATTTATTTTAGCTGCTGTATTTATTCCTATTTAAACAAATCATCTTTTCAAGAAAAGATTCAACTTTGCACATATATAAATAATGTAGGTTTATTTTTACAACTATTCCTTACATATTCCATCCCTACTTATAAATTTTTTTTATTTTTCATTTTATTACAATTTGTTTGTTTTCTGCTATAAAAAAGTATACATTTTTTATGTTACCAATATTTTTTTTCAATTATTAATAAGACTTTTTTTATTAAATTTTTAATTATATACAAAGTATCATATTTGTATTATTTTTTAGAATTATTCTTGTACACTTATATATTTTTTTTTCTCTTTTTATTTAACCACATTTTTAACTTGTTTTTTTAGTTTTTAAAAATTGAAATGGACAGTGAGGCAATGTTTAGGACAGTTGTTGCATTGGGAACTTTGGTAAGATGTTTTTTGACAAATTTTTTTATAAATTTTTACGTAAAAAAAAAACTTCTTGGTTTAAATGCATCATAATGAAAATATTTTTTTGTTGTCACTAATAATTTTGTCATTATGTAATTGATGATGTCATTATAATAACATTGATGATGTTGTCATTAAAGATGTAGTTAATTTAGATCTTTTGGCTTTTGCAATATTATTTCTATTTCTAATTTATATTTTTTATTTGACAATTTCAGAAAAATCTTTTTATTTTTAGCTTTGCGATAGCGAAGACGTAATAGCGTTTGCAAAATCTCTTGAAATGCACAATGTTCTTGCACCAATACTTGCCAATAGTGCAGATTTAGCAAAGGTTTTTTGTTTTTCATTTTATTATTGTGTTTGTTATATATATATATATATATATATATATATATATATATATATATATATATATATATATATATATATATATATATATATATATATATATATATATATATATATAAATATATATATATATATATATATATATATATAAAACAAACACAACAGGTTTGTTTCATTTTTTGATTGTTTTGCTTTTTATATATATATATATATATATATATATATATATATATATATATATATATATATATATATATATATATATATATATATATATATATATCCTTATAGTGTAGTCGAAAGACTACACTTTAAGGATATATATTATATCACTATTTTAATGTGAAAAAAGTCTCTTTTGACTACAATTTTGCTACCTAGACAATTAAGCTACATTTTATTGTCCTCGAAATATCAAAGCAATTAAATTAATGCAATTATAATTACTAGAAAGTCATTGTTAGAAGTACATTAAATTTTATTGTTTTTTAAAAAAATGCAGTTATAATAAATAGAAAGTTTTTTTTAATTAATGGTGTCTTTGTTGTTGTTTTATTAAAATATGTTTTTAAAACATGCTCAGAGTATTACTACATTGACTATCTTATAGCCTGACTTGCAACAGAGTGTTGCTACATGGACTCTCTTATAGCCTGACTCACAAAGGATTGCTGCTACATCAACTGAGGGTTTGGTTAGGGCAGGCAGTCTATCGTTTAATTAAAAAAGAAAATTATTTAAGTTTTTAAACTATTTCTGGTCTGGTTTATTAGCACTCTCTTCAAAACTATATATATATATATATATATATATATATATATATATATATATATATATATATATATATATATATATATATATATATATATATATATATATATTTTTATATATCTTTGCTTCCAACAAGGCTGCAAGCAACCACTAATTAGTGTTGGAAGTTACTGGAAGAGAAAAGATGAAGGTTGTAGAGCAAGATAGGGATTATCAGATGACTTGAAAGATTGCAAATTTTATGAATCAGGAAAGCAAGATAAAGGAAGCGAATTCCAAAAAGCTGATGTTCGGGGAAAAAAACTAGACAAATAAGAGTTTTTGGAGCACTTAGGAACAGTAACAGAAAAAGGATGAGACTTAATTGAATGACAAGTAACACAAGAATGAATTTTAGTAGATGGCACAAGAGACGCTAGCTCTTTAGAGCAGTGCCCATTATAGTATTTGTAGAAAAGAAAAAGAGAAGCAACATTACGATGATGTGATAAAGGTTGAAGCTTGGCTGAGAGAGCAGGTCCAACTATGTTTACAAAGCATTTTTGCACCTTGTCTAAAAGAGAAAGGGCATCATTAGAAGATCTGTCCTAGATATGGCAACAGTATTCTGTACAAGGTCGGATTTTGAGATTTATAGAGATGGAGAATAGAATCCAGAATAAGAAAGTTTCGAGCTCGATAAAAAGATGCAACTTTAGCAGATGCTAATTTTGCAACGGATTTGATATAAGATTTCCAAGCAAGATCAGAAGTGAGAGTTAATCCTAGAAGATAAAGGGTAGATGACTCATTGAGTACATTACTGTTCATAAATATAGGAAGGTCTAAATTATTGCGATAACGATTAGCTGAAAAAAATTGAGTTTTATCTGAATTAAAGTTCACCAGCCATTGTGAGCCCCATGCTGTTGCAGAAATGAGATCCTTTTCTAGCTCAAATGCCCCCTGCAAGCAATCAGAGGGAGTTGGCTTCTTATCGTGACAAGAATAAATGGTAGTATCATCAGCAAACAATTCCACCTTATGTGTGAGAATATCTGAAAGATGGTTAAAGTAAATTAAAAAGAGTATAGGGCAAAGGATTGAACCTTGAGGAACCCCTGAGGTTACAGAATAAGAAGAAGAGTGCTGTTCATCAAGGACAACATTTTTTACTACGATTGGAAAGAAAGGATTCAATAATCTTAAAGATGTTTCCAGATACACTGTAAGAAGAAAGCTTATGGAGAAGACCAGTATGCCAAACTTTATCAAATGCTTTAGAAATGTCAAGAGCAATGGCCTTAACCTCTCCATCTTTATCTAATGCGCGATAAAACCTATCGGTTATTACTGTTAGCAAATCAGCCCTAGAACGAGAAGATCGAAATCTATATTGATAATCAGAAAGTAGGTTATGAGATTCAAGATGAGAGATTAAGTGTTTGTTAATTAAAGACTCAAAAACCTTGCTAATGATAGGAAGAACACTAATGGAACGGTAGGTAGATAAATCGGATTGCTCTCCAGAATTTTTAAAAATAGGGATAACAGATGCTGCTTTCCAGCAGGCTGGAAAACAAGACTCTGATAAGCACTTGTTAAATAGTTTTGAAAAGATAGATGACAGCTCCGGAGAACACTTTTGCAAGACTATAACAGGTATGTTTTCCAGGCCGCAAGCTGTAGAAGAGTCTAAGCAGGAAATCACTTTAGATACAGGAGCTGGAGTGATATGGATGTCAAGCAATTGATCAACCTGTTTGACGGCTATATCAAGTAGAGCGCAACTAGTGGAGTCAAGAGATGATATTGATAAAAAGTTTCTTAGCAAACAATTCAGCTTTGTCTTTAGGTGAGGTGACAAAGTCTGAACCATACAAAAGAGGTGAAATTACAGGCTTACTCTTATTATTGATAATATTAAAGATTCTCCAGTCATGAGAGCCTAACTTTTGTGATAAAATACGAGATTTCATTATCTGAGAATAGGGGGCTTTGGCGTTAGAAAAAACCTTTTTACAATGATTTCTAGCAGAAATAAACAGACGTCTGTTTTCTGGAGAATTGTTT